GAGGAGGCGGATGGGTGGACGCAGCTTCAAAGGAAGCCCTGACCGCCGTGAGAACTCACGACGGCCAGGGCCACCAGAAAGGAGGAGGAGGAGGAGGAGGAGGAGGAGGAGGAGGAGGAGGAGGAGGGGCGGGGGGGGCCGCCAGCGTGTCGCGGCCGGGCATGTCCAGGAGGTCGCAGAGGGCCGCCGGCTCCCCCCCCCAGGCGAGGGCGCCAGGGGGCACGGTGGGCCCTCACTGCCAGGGACCGCCCTTCCCGTCGGCAGGGCAAGGCCAAGGTCTCGTACGAGCACGAAGCCCAACCCGACATCGGACGCGCAGTGAAACAATTACATGACCTACATGCGTCTGTGACCTCTGCTGCTGACGCACCAGGGAAAAGGCAGGCGCCCCTACCCCCCAGGAGAGGGCGCCAGGGGAGTGCGGGGCCCTCCCTGCCAGGGACCGCCCCTGCGCGTCGGGCGGGGGCGTACAATCAAAACGTGTGGTAAGTACGGGCGGTATTGTTGGAGGCCGAAGCTGGGATTCTTGTTGGGCTTGGGCGGCCAGCGAAAACGGCAAAGGACGGGTCGCCAGCGCCTCACCCCCCAGGGGATGGCGCGGGGGAGAAGGTGCAAAGAGGGGACAATGCGACGGGGCCTCCTGGGGGCATCGGGAAACAGGCGTGGGTCTGGGAAGGGCGGCGGAGCGAGAGCTCGCTCCGCATAGTCGCGGACCCACTTGTTGACCGCCGCGTTGTTCTCCACCGGTGCGGCGGATCCAAGCTCCACGACCGTCACCAAGAATCCGATGATGTCGGCCAGGCCCCGGCCCTCTCCCTGGGCTCTTTGCGGCGGGCCTGTTCCCCTCCATCCAGGAGGAAGGGGTGAAGGAGGAAGCAGAATAGGATTCGAGTCGACTCGAGATCATGGGCGATGTCTGAGATCCTCGAGGGAGCAGGAGAGGGGGGCAGGAGATCAGATTCATGATTATTCGTCCCTCCTCTTGATGCTCTCTCCTCCTACCCCTCCTCCTCCTCGTCTTTCTCCTTTTCCTGCTTCTCGCTCCTCCCTCATCTCCCTCCTCCGTCCTCCATCTTCCTCCTCCTCCTCCTCCTCCTCCTCCTCCTCCTCCTCCTCCTCCTCCTCCTCCCCCTCCCTACTCGGTCAACTCCACCTCAGGTCCCGCTTCCCACTTTGCTTTCCGTTCTCCCTCCCCCTCTCCCTTCCTTATGCTCCTCGTTCTCCTTGCCCTCCTTCTTCTCCTCCCCCCGCATCCATCCATCCTCATGTTTCCTCCTTCCGCCCTCCTTCTTCTACAATGACACTTTACGACTCACTCCACAAGTATGAATCATTTTCACAGGATGTCAGACACTGGTATCTCTTATGTGTTGTTATCGGGAAGCTTCGGTGTTTCAGAATGGACCTCCCGCTTCAGCGTTGACCTCCTTTCACGATCGGCGGTACGCCCCCGTCGCTCCGAATGGCGCTGTTGCCCGAACACGGGCTGCACTTATGGTGCAAGGGTTTCCTCACCGATGTCGCCCTCTTCTTTTCCCTCCTCCTCCCCGTCTGCCCCTGGCCCTCCTGCTCCGCCTGCTCCTGCTGCTGTTCCTGCTCGTCCTTCTCCGTCCTCATCCCCGTCATTCTCTGGCTCGTCGTCCAGCTCATCCGCCACCCCCTCCTCCCATGCGCACAACTCCACGGTGCATATTGCGCATGGAACGACGGAGTGTTTTCACCCAAATCCGCTATGACACCCGTCTGCGGATCGCGAAACTATCAGCGCAATGGGAAGCGATGGGAAGGATGACTCGGACGCCAAATCTGGCGCAGGCGCACCCAGCTTCCCTCACTCTTCCATGTTCTGGGTGCTGCTGCCCGTGGCGGTATTCCTCGCCTGTCCCCCTATTATTATTATTATTATTATTATTATTATTATTAGTATCATTATTATTATTATTATTAGTATTATTATTATTATTAATATTAGTATTAGTATTATTATTATTATTATTATTATTATTGTTTTTCTTTTTCCTTCTCCTCCTCCTCCTCCGAAGAGTACCTCAACAGCAGGCACATACACTTCCGAAGGTCCGCGCGGATTTCTTGGCTCGGGGCGCAGACCCCCCCCTCCTTGGTGCGAAGACTGCGCCAGGGGCGGCGCTACAGGCGCAACCACGGAGCCCTAGCGCCGACCCAGGAAATCCGAACGGATCTCCCAAACATGGCCTCAATTCGTGCAGACTTGATCTCCGTCTACTCGTGGCGATATTCCTTCCCCGCCCCCCCGTCCTCCTCTGCCCACCCATCCCCTCCGACCCTCCCCCCCCGCTCCAACGCACGCAGTTCCCACTTCCCGCTTGCGCAAAACACGACGGAGCCCTCGTGGGAGCTGCCTGAACCTGGCGTTGAGCGTTGGGTGTCCGCCCGATATCGTACAAGCCAGGCGACATCTACGATAACCGCTGGACAACTACTCGTATACTCCAGACCCCTGCGCGCACTAGCGGGCACCTTCAACGCCGCTCCTTCTCCCGTGGCGACATCGAGCCCATCGCGTGCGCATGGGCCAAGCGGCAGCGCCGGCGCGTGCATCGCTCTCTGAGCGCAGCACTTGCCGACGACAGCAACTCCGCGGCTCCCGCGGCGAGGAGCTCCAAATGTCGCTCGACGAGACTGTCTTCTTCGACCAGTTGTCTGACCTGAAAACGAATCCACCCTTGCAAAAAGATTGGCTTGGCCGTGGGCGAGGAGCTCCACCGCCAGGTGGCCGCCATCCAGCGCTGCGAAACCGCTTCAAGCTCGCCGCCAGGTGCAGCTTTTGGGGGGCCGCATCAACGTAGCACCCGTATCGGGCGACGCCTAATTGAACCTGGAAGCCGCCGCCGATGCCAAGGCGCGACGCGCTGTCGCCGGACTCCCTCGTCTCGGACGGCTCCCCGGAGTCGCCCGAGCGAGAGCTCGATCAGCGAGGCCTGGCGTCGCTAGCGCGTGCGCCGCTGGCACTGGCGCCCGAGCGCCCGGGTGAAAAGTTAGAAACCAAGACGATTGGACGGCGACGTTCGCCGCCACTCGGCCCAACGGAAGCCCCTCGATCTCATGATCAGCTCCCTGCGCTCTCGTTGTTCCTGGGCGCGCTATCGGGCTCGGTGCTATCGCGCAAAAGGAAACCTTGCTCGGGGCGAGAAGGCAAGCGCGGAGAAACGCCGGCCCCGACGCCGAAGCCGAATGGACGCGAGACCGCATACAAGTCTTCGAAGGAAGAGGCCCAATGGGCAGAGTTTGGTAGGGGCTGTTGCCCAACTCGAATGGAGCTGGCCAACGTGCGGCATGATGTGCGACGACTGGGGTGCCCGCCTGTCACGGGCCCGCCTGCCAGCGGGGCCGTTCGCGCATCTGCTCCGCGCGTCTCAAAAAATTATTCCTGCGACGCGCCCCGACCGCCGGGCGCGATCTTGGCGCCGTCGCCGCGGTCAAACAGGGCCATGACTACATGGCCATTGCGCGGTTACTCTGCATTAGTGGCAAGGCCCAAACCACCGCGTGGCAGCGCTGCGCCCCCCGCAACTACCTGTGCGGGGTGACCGCGCCCAACTTTTCCGAGCCTCCGAAACGGAATTAAGGCCCGCATCTCTGCCGACCCGTCTCCTCCGCGCAGAGGGTGCGACCAATGCGAAGAAAGCCAGAAACGCGTCGCCTGGGCATTCCCGAGACACCAAAGGGCTGCTCTGCAAACCGTGGCCACCGAGCACCAGTGGCGACGCCTGCCGCCGCGCGCCAGGCGCTGCGGCCTTCTTTGAGAAGATCCCCAGCTCCTCGATGGCCAGGTCGCCCTCGCCGAAGACGCGCTCCCGCGGCCCATCCCGATGCCGACCTCAGAGGGCCCTGGCGACGACGCCTGCGGGGGGTATATCTGGGGCGCCGGGGCCCGCTTGGTGCGCGCTGCCACCGAGCGGGCCTGCTTGCACTCAACCCGCCCCTTCGCGCCAGAGCTGGTTTCGGAGTGCACTATGGCCCCGGCCACCGGCTGAACCGCTCTGCGCGGGTAAGCGGTCCAGCGCAGTCCGCGCGCCATGCCGGGACACTGGCCGTGCTTCATCTGGTCGCCGCTGTTGAACGGCCCGCCTACATGTGCGTCGACGGCAACGCTGTCTTTGGCGGATGTCGAAGACCTCCTCAGCGGTGCACGAGCCAAGCCGGACATGAAGTCCAGACAGTTGAAAGCCACCTGGGTGTGCAAGGCGTCAGCCAGGTCAGTGAAGGACATATCTCGCCAACTGCTGAGGCTTTCAACCGCCAGGCAAATGAATGTGTCACGGACGGCGCGCGCCTGCACGGTGCACTGCGAAGCCTCATCGCGGCCGTCCTCCACAGCAGAACTGTCCCCGTTTATGGCTGGCGTCGCTAACCCTTTCCCTTGCTGGACAGGGGGGCGGGCTATTCCGGGGCTGACCTCAGCATGATGAAGCCCAACCTTCTCGCCGCTGACCATGGCGACCACGCGCCAGCCGGCGTGTCAAGCGACCCCGCTCATCCCGACGGCCCACCAATGCCCGACTATTTCGGTCGCATCGATGATCCCTGGACGGGCCTGCTCGACGACTGCGACAGCGAGGAACTAGACCCACTCGGGCTACGCGCCTCCTTAAACGATGACGAGAAACGGTTCTCTTCCAAAGTCGCGGCAAAGACGACCCCAGCGACAACCGCGACGCGTGTCAACGAAGACTCTTCAACGGGCAAGTGCAAGCCGCCCACGGTGAACAGGATCAGGCCGCCACTGCCAGTCCGAATCGCCACCAACCAGGCCAGCTCCTCCTCCCTCCAGGCCACGGAAATCAACGACAAACCAAAAACTGCCGTCGGAACGGGGCTCGGTGCTACGGGAACCGAGCAAACCGACCGTAGAAAGTCCCTCACGCAACACCTTTGCGGCCAGTCGGCTGCCAGAGGGTGACCGCGAAACGCTCCTCATCGCTAGCACCAACGCGCTGCATCAGCGAGCCAACTACCTCGCCCAATCTCTCCTGCACGTCCGGGAACTTTCAGTCCCCCCGCTAGACTCGACAACTTCCACTGACCATACGCGCTGCCTGGAACGGCCTCCAGCAGGGGTTCTGGCCTGCCGTGTTCTCTGGGCGCGCCCCCAGACAGCCTCCAAACTCGCCTTGCTGCCCAGCGCGCGTCACGCGAGTGCTAAAGCCCCTCCTCTCCCAATGGGCTCCGCGCGCTGCTGGGTTCTGTTCCGATGCCCTTTCTGGGCCGCCGCGGGGGATGCCCCCGAGTGGCGCCGCCATTTTTTTTTGCTTCGGAGACTCTAGGGTTCTCTTTCCTTGAAGTGGCGAAGGGCCAAGGCGGTCGCCCCGCAGGGCGAGCAGTTCACTCTCCAAGGTGGCCTTGGCTCGGGCCCCCTGCGGGCGGAAGCGCCCATCTGCCCCGCGGCGCGCCAGGCACACGGTCGGGCAGCGCTTCCTGTCGAGAGGGCCGAGATCGGGCCAACCTTCTGGAGCTGAATGCGCTGGGCCCCCACAGCGCGGCAAGACGAGGGTGGCGCCTTGCCGTCGTACGGGGCCGAGCTTCAAAAATCTCCGACGGACTGGCCTGGCGAGCAAGGCGACGGGCATTTACAGTGGCAAGGAAGGCGTCGATGCAAGCAGCGCGTTTTAAAAAGGGCTGACGGAGAACCAAAGAACAGCAACATGCACGAGGGAAACCAGGGGAAACTCACAGGGTCCGAATGCGCACAAATCTCTTCACGTAACCACTTCTGAATCAAAAAAATCTCGAGTTTAGGGCACTGGCGATAATGAT